GGTGTTGAGATTTCTTCTTGGGGTAATAAAATTTCTAAAATTAATTGTGGAAATGGAGTATTACTCTGCTATAAAAGAGGATAAACTTGAGACTTTTATAGGTAAATGGATGCAATTTGAGAACATAAGTGAAATAAATTAGTCTCCCATGTCTCCCAAATTAGTCTCCCAAATTAGTCTCCAATACAATAAATATTGTATTGTGTTCTTAGTGTAAGAAGCTGAAAGAGTAAATAAGAGCCAAAATGTACAACAGATATTGGGAAATGGAAAGAAACTGCTCAAAAGGAAAGAGAAACGGATGGGGAAAGGAGAAAAGAAAGAAGAGAAAAGGAAAAGTGTATATATATATATATATATATATATATATATTAAGATAGCTATACTCTAATTTCAATTAGTTCATTGAAAAGAAAGGTTTGTGCTCATACTGTTTGTAATATGAGCAACTACTTTGAAGATAACAATAAGCAATGTATTAACCATTTTTTCTTTCCTTCTTTGTTTGAAATTTTGTATCACTATTTCTTTTATTTTAAAGAGAATAAAAAACAGTAACAGGATAACAATAACATAGACAGAAACAAAACAACACAAAAACAATAAAAATGATACAGGGTTTCAAAACAAAATGAATGGAATTAACAGTGGTTGTTATATTAGCTATTGTTATCTTCAACAAAGTTGCCCACACTACCATATGTAAGAATGCAAGACTGATCAAACCATTAAACATTGTTTTTAGTGTTTTCTCTCTTTAAAACAATCTGTATATAATCAATTGTGGAGATGAACATACAACTTTGTGAATATGCTAAAAGTTACTAAATAATAAAAATAAAAAGTCAGCTAGGAATCTGATAATACCTACCATATCCCAGTTACAGCAAACACATATTTAATTTGTTATGATCATAAGCATCATAAGCAACATAATCAGGATCACACAGGAGAGAATCACACAAAGATCCTGGGTGTCTGACCTTCCAGTCAGTAATCAGCAATCTGCCCACCACATGCCTAGATCTTCTGCAAATGAATAAAAAAGAGCGCCAAATTCATGGCCATCTTACTATACAACTGCCAAATACGCCCACCCAATGTCCATGGAAAAATGTCTGCAGAACTATTTGCTTCTCTAAACACTTGTCATGGTTTGTGTCTGGATGTCTCCCCAAAACTTCATGCAGCCATTGGCGTTGGGCTTTGCAGAGGTGGCTGAATCTAGAGGTTGTGATTGACTCACGGCCCAATGCTAGGAAAAAAGGTGTGAGTGCTACACCTGCCCTAGGACATGAGCCCACATACAATATAAGGGACAGAAAGAGTCTTCTCCCTCCTCTCCCTTGTTGGTTTTGCTGTGTTCTGCCACCATGAACTGTTGCCCCTCTGCCATGTGCCCACCTGCCTTGGAGTCAGCTGATCATGGACCAAAACCTCTACAAACTATGCACTAAATAAACCTTTGCTCCTTTAATTTGGGGATCAGGCACTTTGTCTCAGCAATGAGAAAAGTAACTATGACAACACTTATCCTAATATTAAAAGGGACTTGAAATGATAAAAGATTCTCATATGCTTCAGACTGCAACAGTGGGAAGGTTCCAGTAAATAGCTTAATTCTTAAATATGTATTAAAATAAAATTCCCTGTTTTCTTGTATTTCTTTTCTTTTTAACTACATATTAATCTTCTTCAGGGTGGAAATCAGGACTTCTTTGCTACCCACAGCTACTACCATTTCAAACTCCACTGTTTGTGCTTTTGATTAAACAACTATGGAGGAGGGTACCATGAAATCCAGAAGGAGATTTACTTTCTATCTTTTCACATTTATTTTGTTTATGAGTCAATATCTGAGGTTTCTTGTTACAATAAAAAATGTTCAGGTGAATCTCCATTTAGTAATCCTCAGAGTCTATTAGAAATCTTCTAAGGGTACTGTAAAGCCTTTCCTAAAGTTAGATTTTTTAATTCCTTTTTCTTTTTGTACCAGGAATTGAACTCAAGACCTCTTGCTTGCCAAGCAGGCACTGTGCCCCTGAGCTAAATCCCTGGCCCTGAGTTTTTTTAATTCCAAAAGAGAAACCCAGCAAATAGAATCTGAAGACATAAGGAGAAGAAATGTGCCTTTGTTAAAGGGTGGAAACTCAATGTGCACTATCTCTTTCATCCTTAGTGGATGGAGAAGACCACATAGAGAGATGACTCCTGAAGAACGTGTGAAATTTCAGCGGGTCAGGGAAGGTGGAATGTGTATCAAGGTGGATGGACAATGTCCACATCTCAGAGGTGATGTACGGATGATCTCCTACATTTGACAGATGAGGAAAATGAAGTTTCAAAATATTAAATAGCTGTTGTCACAAAACTAGACATGGAACTCTAGTCTGTGCTGGTCTAAATCTGAGGCTTGTGCTCTTTCTAAAATAAGCCATTCCCCATATTTCTCCCCTGCTTTGGGAAGGGCTCTGCTCTGCCTTGTTGGGAAATATCTGAAGATGTGCATTCTAGACACAGTATTTGTACAGTCCTCCTACCAGAAGCCCAACACCTCAAGACCAATAAAGCAAAACAAAGACTTGGCTTGACGCTTGACCCCAACCTTCAGCATGCCTCTAAACTAACTCCTATCTATCACAGACATGTGCATCACCTTGCGTTCTCTGGGCTGACCCCCAAATAGTCAGTTGATAATGTTGACAAAATCCAGCCAGAAGGATCAGGAAGAATCATGAGCTCTTGAGGCTGAAAGCAAATTTCACCACCGAAAAGATGCAGAGCTACTGATTCATATACTTGATGAAAATGTGCAAGGAAAACATCTTCAGCAGCAGCCAAGTTAGTCTGTCTACTTCCCTGCCCACTGAAAAATTGCCTCTCCTCACATTTCTTCACCTCTGAGATGTGGACATTGTCCATCCACCTTGATACACCTCCTGCTCTCCCTGACCCACTGGAATTTCACACGCTTTTCAGGAGTCATCTCTCTACGTGGTCTTCTTCATCCACTGACCTAAGGAGTTGGATTCAGTGAGCTTAATACATTTACCTAATTTTGAAATTACTCACACACTGCTTTGTAACACCACCCTATTGTTTCTTTATTACATACTCTTCAATGCATTAGCTTTTTATGTGGTCAGGCTTGGCTTTCCACATTGCCAAACTCTACCATAAATGCTTGCAAGATCTGGGGTTTTTTTTCCCACCAAACTTGCCTTAGCATCTAGAACAGAGATGGCTCTTCAGAAATATGTTCAACAGCCCCATGCAGGAGTTGCTACTAAAATTTTAAACTGTTTAGGTTAACTAATAACCACTATTTTAATAGAGTGATTTTTCTAAAACTTATGACTCATTTTCTCTGTGGACTTCAGTCCCAGTTTTTCAGCATAGCATTGATGCTTTGCAATGACCTGACTTCCTCCTACCTTGGTAATGATAGGGCAAGAGAGACTCCATTTTAAAATCACTTAAACTTTAATAAACTCATTCTTCTTCCCCAAATTATGTCAAAGAGTTTCTATTTGTAAGCCGTTTCTATATCTGATAAATGCTGTTTCTGACAAATGCTGTCATGACCCCATGACTATGACTAACTATCACCATATGATTAGATAAATGCTGTACTCTGCCTTTCTGGAAATTACCTGCTATCTTTTGAAACTGGACCAACCGCTATATAAACCACTGTTTTCCTATCCTCAGGGTCAATAATTCTGATGGGCAACGGTTGGGGTATTGTCCACGCGCTAAATAAAACTCGCTTGTTCCTGTTTCTCAGCTTCTGTGAGTGATTCTCACGACTTGCATCCCTTGTTGCCCACCCTAAATTCTCATCCTCCTTCCCAAATACCCTTTTATGTTCCAACTTATCACCAACATGATTTTTTTTAACCATGCTCCTTTATGAAGCCTTTCTTGCCTACTGTAGTCCTCAGTAAGATAGAACTCTTACCTTTACTTACCTTTACCTTTACCTTTACCTTAACTTTTACCTTCACTCCCTGAACACAAACTTCCAACATTGTATCTATAATGCTTCATGCTACTTATTTGTCCATATTCCTTAATAGCTTATGCAATCCTTGGAATAAAAATTCTGAATTATTCACCTTAATATTTCCAGTATCAAGTACAGTTCCCACATAAACATACAATAAATCTTTGAAAGTTATTAAATAGAATTGATTAATTTGCTTGATACCTTACATATGGTATCATCAGGTAGGATGTGGTTTTTTTCTTCCAAACCAGGAATCATCATACTCAGGACCTTACGCTTGCCAAGCAGGCACTTTTGCAGCTGAGCTATATCTCTGGCCCAGGATACAGTTTTATATGAACAAAGTCAATCAAAAAGTAGTGAGAAGACTCTCCAGAGTGGTTCTCAGAGCACAAACAAGAAAGCCACTTTACCCAAAGTCAACTGTATTTTTTATTTTTAAACTTTATTTTCATTTATTTATTATTAGTACATGTTTGGAGTACATAATATTTACATTCCTTCTGAGGAGTTGGTACATGTATATATCTTAACTTCTTTATTCAACTCCTTTCCTTCCCCACCCTCATACCTCCCTCTACCTCATGATTCCTTTCCCATTTGAGAAAGATCTCCCTACTTCTTGTTATGTGTATTTTACTTTATTCTTTATTTATAATTTGGATTTCTCAAGTAAGAGAAGCCATGTGATAGCTAAGCGTGAGTGTCCGATTTAATTCACTTAATATTATGATCTCAAGGTGCATCCATTTTCCTTCCTATGACTCAAGTTTATCCTTCTTTATGGGAGAGTAGTACTCCATTATGTGTAAATACCACATTTTCTTTACCCAATCATCTGTTGTTGGCAAAGTAAATCCAGTAATATAAATAGGAACAAAGCCTCATTTAGTCAAACATCTCCATGGAGCTCCTACCTCTGATCTCCAGAACATCTTGCAGAGTCCATTAACTCTAAGGAGATTTTCAAGAACAGAAGGAGCTTTCTTACCTGTGTTCCAGCTCTCGAATGGACAGTATCACACCTGAAGTCGATGGCTTCTGCTGTACAGTGGCCAAAAAGGTGAATTCACTCTTGTTCCGGAACAACTGAATTAATTTCTCACTCACATGAGGAGCTGCATGGATCTCTCTTTCTGTACCTAGGAGATGAGAAGGAGCAGGAGGAGAGGAGAAGAATAGGGGAGGGGAGGGGATGGGAGGGGTACCGAAAGAGTGAGAAAGGGAGAGAGAGAGAAAGGGAGAGAGAGAGAGAGAAAGAGGGAACATGAGAAAGAAGACAGCAAAGGTCCACAGTTTAAAATGCCATGCTCAGGGATCCAGATCACATTTTCCATTTCCCCTTCCATCAATAGTTTTCATGTTGAGGCACCATTCACCACTCCATACAGCTGCAATCATTTGATGCAAACCCCGGAAATGCCATCTCTGTCACCGTGCCCACTTGTCACTTTGACAAGTTTACAATGAGCCAGACTGTGATTTTCTGACATGAATTTTGACAGGACACTGAGCAAACCCTCCTGATGCAAACAGAGTGAGCTGCTGTCAGGTGAAAAGCGGTCAGATAAATGGGGTCCTACATTCAGAGAATCTCAGATCTGGTGCAGCCCAAGTGCCATCGAGCACCACCCACGTTCACTTTTCTCCTGGGCTTGGTTTCCTTTGCCCCCACAATGCACCTGGGAAACCTGTCCTTGCCTTGTACCTAGCTGAGATTTACCAGCACTAACAATGCCAGACAACTCTGCCTTTGCTTAGAGAGCAAATACAAGACATGCTCATGATCCGAAAGCATGCCTGGAATTTCTCTGCAAACGTGCAGGGGATTACTCTTCTCATGAAATATTTATTAAATGCAGACCAATTCAGCACACCTAGAGGTCTGTGAGTCCAGCTAATCCTGCTCCTGGACAGGAATCTCTTTCTCCAAGACCAGCATAATGAGAGACATCTGCCATTTCCCTCTCAGCCTCAACCTTGCAACCGTTATCTCATTACTGCACACTACATCTCCTGGCATCAGAAAGGAGCAGTGAGAGAGCAAAGTTAAAGAAGACTATTCAGAGGATGATGAATGTGTGTCAGAGGAGTATGTAGTGGTCCCCTCTTCCACCCTGAGCATCTCTTTGGACTATGTGATAACTACTTGGTTATTTCTCCAGCCCTGCATGAGGAACATTTAAAAAATACAAAACTTCAAAGGCTGCGTTGCTCAAGCAACACCTCAGACTTGTGTAACAACCTTGAAGAAGCTCAGTAACTTCTTCTAAAAGAGAAGTCCTTCAGTTCTTGACCTTGGGCCCCTGTCTTCTTATGTGCAAGTCGAGGGGATGGGCTGGGTCTTTCTCAAAGCCCTCCCAGCCTATCTTATTATTCTATGAACTGCCACTTCATGTAAGTAACATAAAAGGGAGCACCAGTCTTTTTCCAGTTGTGAAAGTCTAGGCTGAAAATGGAAAAAAATGAGGAGTCTTCTCCCATGGAAGCAGCCAGTTCATGAAGAGCACACCACCTGCAATTTTTTTGAGGTGCTGGGGATTAAAACCAGGACCTTCACAGTGAGGTGCATCACTAGCCCTTCTTTATGTTTTATTTTGAGACAAGGTCTGGCCAAGTCTAAGCTCAGGCTGGGCTTAAACTTGCAGTCCTCTTGCCTCAGTCTCCCAGAGTGCTGAGATTATAGGTCTATACCACTTGCATATGCAGCTAGCATTTGCTTTTTGCCTGAAGAAATGCCTTCCCTACTGTTAAGTGGCATACTGTATTAGCTTTCATCAAGGGCTCAGATAAGAGAACACCACTTAAAGAATGTTTCTATGCCTTCTACAGAATCCCAACTGAAGACTTCCCAGGATGATATGCAAAACTTATTAAATATATAAACAGATCATTTTGCAAACTAGAGAATATTAGCAAATTTTCCTTAACATTATTTTTATTATCATTGCTCCTTGGTAAAATTGTGATGAAGTCTACCTAGAATTCAGTGCCAGAAATGAGAGCTGAAAGAGCAGGAACTCTTCTCCTTGACTCTTAAGATTAACTTATCTGTTTACTTCCTCACTCATCAATTAGGAATCTACTGATTGCTAGTGGGTACCCAGAGAGCTCATTACAGGATTCTTCTACTTGGACCCAGTGAAAAGAGGGCATGATCAGTCAGCAATGCCTGCTAGAGAGAAGGGCACAAATATCATACCCAGTGTGATATGGTAAGACTGTGGGAAGGAAGAAAGAGGAAGGTGTGAGGAAGATGAGTATCCTCACCTTCATATTCCCGAGGTATTGACCTGCTGGCCTCATGTCCAATGACCTCCATATTTAAATGTGCAACTTTCAACTCTCCCTAAAGCAACAGAGTCATGTATCCAATTTCCTGCTTACTGTCTATCTCCATATGAATGTCTAATAAACATTTCAAATTGCATTTTCCCACAGTAGAGCTCTTGTTCTCTCCCATAGCCTTCTCTTTTTTATTTCAAAGAGAAAAAAAGATAAACAATGAAACTGAGTTTCAAAACAGTTAGTAGGACCATTGCAATAATTGATACATTGGGTATTGCTCTCTGCCTAGTAGTTAAGCAGAGTACAAGATCTAAGCACTATCTTGTCTACACAATATTAGCACAAAACATTCTTTTCAAGGAACTAAGAGAATCTAGCTGTACAACTATCTTAACTATATACATATATATTTTCTTTGTCCCTTTCTTCTTTCCTACAGTTTTCTATTTTCTCCTAGAGTTCCCAGTCTTTGTACATGGTGACACCAAGTTCCTCCACCAATAAAACTAGAAAATCCACTTGATTCTTACCAATTCTGCACCCTGCATTCCCACCTAAGAGCAAATCATGAAGGCTCCCATGTCTGAAATCTGACTGCTTCCCCACTTGACTCCAACGACTCCCACCCAAGGCAATAGGTAAGGTCGCTCCCCAGACACTTCCGATACTTTCCAAACTCATCTCCCTGTTTCCAATAACCACTTTCTTTCCCTGTTTTCCACACAACAGCCAAACTGGTCTTTGTAAGACAAATGTCCAAATCATTTCAGCTCCTGCATGGAAGTCTCCAATGGCTGCTCGCTGCTCATAGGATAAAAAACCCAGCCCCATCTGCATTACCTGCAAAATCACTCACACACACACACACACACACACACACACACGCACGCACACACACGGACTGAGGCCACATCTCCCCCTCCATCTTGCACTCTTCTCCTTGAGTGCTAGAGGAGCCACCAAACCCACTTCTGCCCCAAACCTCCAGACTTGTTTTCCAAGTTGTCTTCTGCCTCCTTCTCACATGCCTGGCTCCTCCTCCTTTGGCTTTCACTGCAAAGACAACCTCCCAGTCACTCTCCCCAACGCAGGACCTCTATAGCTGTTTCTCTAACACACCACTCTGGTTATTTTCGCCATAGAATTTATCATAACCTACGAATTGTGATCTGTGTGTTGTTCTCTTACTCCACTTATCGGAGTCTTGTTTCTTGCTTCTTGCTTCTTCTTTCATCTCATCTCTTTCCTTTCCCCACCAACACTAAGCTCCAAGAGGCAAGTATATTTCTGTATTCATTGTTTTATCAGCTGTTCCTAGTGCCTGGCATGAAGCAGACAAGCCATAGGATTGACTGGTCAGTTAATGTGTTCTCTATTCTTTTTCCCATTTATACTATTACTTTTAATAAGTACCTATATTGCAGTTAGGAGATGGTATGGTACCTTTTGGAGGACCAAGAGATAAAAGCCTGGATGCCAGTGGCTATCTAAAGAAAACGACATTTGGTGCTATTTCCCCTCTTTTTCACAAAACACTCCTCTCCCACAGTCCACCCACACTTCTGCTCCTTCAGTCCTCCTTGAGAGCTGAACATTCCTTATGCTGGCTTGACTCATTTCTCTTTATAAATGATTGGCACACTGAAGGAAAGAGACCTCATTAACTCCCACCAGAGTGAAATGTAAAAAACATCTGTTTTGATACATGGAGACTTTATGTGCATTCTCATTTTCAGAAAAGCCCTTTTCAAGTAAATGATTACTATAATTCAGCCAGTAAAGAACACACACACAAAAAAAAATCACTTCTTACAATGTAAGAGCACTGGACCAGGATTCAAGGTGAGTTTGACAGATAATTAGCTGTATAACCTTGGATAAGACCCTTTCCCTCTCTGAATCCCACACACAACATCCGAAAAGTAAGAGGACTAAATTCCATCATCTCCAAGTTCTTTCCTAGCCTCAATTTCATGCCTGTTAATCACATTTTCCTGCTCTTGGCCACACAGCAAAAGAGGATACCGAGGGCATTTTCCATGCATAAAATATCCACATTCTACAATTTTTCTCTTTTGCTGATTTTTCAAATTAACATAAAGTGTAAAGTTTTCTATTACTGAAAATAGTGACATGTCACCTACTTTGCAGAAGCCTGCATTTCCCCCCCACCCCAGAGTTAAAAGAGTGACCAATGGAAACCAATTAATGAGACCTTATAGTGAGTATCATACTTCCACGCTCATCCACTATAATGGATGTTGCTGTGTGACTTGAGAATGCTTATTTCCATGAGAGAGAACAAGAAAAACAAGTGGGGTGGGTAAAGCTCCTAAGAAGTGTTAAATATAGATATTAAGTTAGAAACCTGTGAAACGTGTTAAACATAGATCAAATATGTAGAACATAAGGCTGTGAAGCATAGAAAACGGGGATTGGGTAAAGGTGTGACTTACAAATAGAATGGGGTGGAAGGACCAGATCATCGAGTGTACATCATGCCAGCTTCAGAATGACACTTGCGTCACCCCTGAATCTGACGCCTATCACTGACATCCATTCCACTCCCTATGACTCCACATACACTTTTCCCAAGATACGACTTTAGAACCATTCACTGCCCATCAAATTACCTGGTGCACCACAGCTGTAGCCAGAGTTACCTGCCACAAGCATGTTGGCTCCAGGCACCTCCCTTTTACTGAACCGCCTTTTTAACCTGAGCTCCGATCCTTTGTCACCCCAACATCATCAGGAAAGCTGATCCATCTGAGAGAGAAAGACTGAATATGTAGATAATGTATAACTAAAATATCACGTGGTGTCCTCCCCTCTTTGTGCTCTGTTTTAATGG